TTCCATCACTTATCTTGGCCGAGAAATAGAATCTTTATTTTTGCTCTTCATTTTTTAGACACTGCATTCTCCATCGAACAGACTCTAGAAAATCGTCCACAACTCAGAAAGTAAAAGCCCTAGAAGGCTCAAAATTTGGACTTATAGATTTTCACACATGCTGAACAAGATAGGACTAGTTAGAATCAAATCCGAGACATCGATTAAGCATGGTCTTATGGTGATCTGCCCTTTTTCTCGTGCAATAGCTCGTAGGTAACTTGACATACTCCACAATCCGGATATTAAAATTCCTTCATTATCGATCTTAAGACAGATCTTCAGAGATCGGATGTCCTAAGATCCGTGGTAGAAACTTCTAGCAGCACAAATGAGTATCAGTTTCGGGATCAGCACCAAAAACTACGTATAGTCAAGTAGGTTTGAAGGTCAAAGCGATGAATCACACGGGGACCTTCCCTCGTTAATTTCTAAAAGAAATGTGTTACTTTTGAACGTATGAAGTAGTCTACTTGCGATAATACACACTTGTTTATATAACAGAAAAATATATTGTTCAACAATGACTGATAGCTGCACCTATCTGAGATGCACTAACGAGTAACTTTAACCGTTGCAGGGGAACCTGGTACGTCGAGTCCTATGTTCGACGAAGTGCTTTCCTGCTTTTCTCACACATGCTGAACAAGACAGGACTAGTTAGAACCAAATCCGAGACATCGATTAAGCATGATTTGTTATTTGTCTCATGCAGTGGCTCCTAAAAGAAAACTTTTGTGCTTATTAGATAGGTTTTGGTCCAGGTATGAAAATTTCACTATTATATCAGTCGTCACTGACATTCCTTCCAGTGACAAAGAAAAAAAGCGACTAAGAAAAAACGCATAAATTTCATTCTGTTTACCGTAAGAAATTCAACTTTCGTTGGTGATCGAAACAATGAGCTAAAAGGTGAAAATGACAAAGAAGGAAGTAAAGATAAAATGTCGAAAAGTGGATGTGGTCGACGCACGAATACATGTAAGCAGTTTCCCCTTTTCTTTCTTTCCTTATCACAGCGTAACAAACGTGTTTTTAAACAAATTTTATTTATTCCATTGACTGTAGGTCTATGGTCATATGAAATAAATTGTTTGTGTGTGTGTAAATGTAAATATAATATATGTATCCTAGTGGTAGTGAAACTACCTAGTCACGATTTTCTTAAATTATATTCAAATTAAGTCAAATAAAATAGCGAATGCTCTATAGGAAAATTCTGATATTGGTTATGAGAATCTTTTTATACCATTTTTATTCAACTAAAAAAGTTCCGGGTATAGCCTAATTGGATCAAACATTCTATTGCTCACTGTACATTCCTACTCCAACACAGGTCTATAAATTCACTGTATTTTCGCTGAAAAGGATTTTATTCTCTTTGTTGAAATAAAGATTCATGTATCAATCTTCTTATGCTTTATAACCCTCTATGACAGATATCAACGAAACTCATATACAACGAAACGGACTGTTGATAAATTTTAACTACGAAAAACCTCGGTAAAGTGATCACTACCGTGGCGCATCGGCTCTGATGTTAAGGCGAATGCATCAAATAGTGCCGTAGTAGTCCATAATTACAAGGTCAACGTTGAAAATTAACGAGCAACTCGTCGATGATCTTCATTCAGATAATTGCCTTCAAATGGAACAAAGAAAACATCTTTAACAGAGTGTCCATCTTCACTGGAATTTCTGTCGATAGTTGTAGCATGAGTTACTCTAATTTGTACGGCGAAAGAATCTTTTTCTTCCCACTGAAAAAAATAATCAAAATTAGCGTATTACTCATAATGCTAAAGCGCTTATCATAAGTGTGTGTTATCATAATCTATATCTTTATTGTCTATACTTATGATAATCACTTCAGCATTGCGAGTAACTACCATAATTTCAAGGAATCAGAAACATACTTACCGTACTTAAAATTATTGGTCCAGCCTATTCAAATGAAGTACCATTCATTTTACCATATAGAGCTAGTGTTGGTATACCGCATGATGCAACAAATTCTGATTTATCCAACACAAATAAATATTCATCATCTTATCGTCTTATACCATCAGATCAGGTAGGGTTTTAGCATATAGAATAATAACATTATGTGAATTCCATCGATGGAAATCAGTAATATTTATATAACAAAACGATAATTATGGTTATGCTAGTGACACACAAGGAAATGCTCTCACGACTCGACCCGCTCCTATATGTGAGTGAGGATGCAAGAGTGCTGGACATACTGCTACTCGCCAGAAAGGACCTGTACCATGACCCGTTCTAAGATACAAAAGGAGCCTAGTGCTTAAACCCGTGTACCAAAAGACGCACCGTATCCGATCGCGTTTCTGCGTAAAAAAGTACTGCGCATTCTCATACTCGTCCCGCACGATCACTAATTGACACGTTCTAAGATGAGAAGTTTAAAATTCATGTTATGTCCAGTACTCTACCTGTCCCAACATGAAAAAATGTATGAAGTACAAATACCCATATAGAAGGATCGTACTTTAGCGCTCCCTAACCCAAAAAGGTAAGGACAGCGCATGCATAAACTAAATTTTTCTCGAAAAAAGTCTGTATTGAAAAGACGACATTTGGCAAATATTATGCATAAGAGTCATGTTTAAACTTAAGCGTAAGCATAATTTCGACCAATATAGTCCATAGGACAGGTGTCACGAAAATGTGTGGTACACCACCTGAGCATCCGAGGTTATAAAATTCCCATATACGAAAAGGTGCAATGAGGTCATGGCTACAAAATGGAGAATGTCGCAGGTTTCTACCTTTTTTCCTTCAAGAGTTATGACCTTTTTTACACATAATAACATATGGGCTGTCGTTTTAGCACCAGAACGAGTCCTTAGTTGCGTTTCATCACCTGACATATGTAATTATGAAGCAGAATGACATATCACGTTGGCCTAAAGGATTAAGGCGATTATGTAAGCATACTGTATGATTATATATTCGTTAGTTCGAATCCGACGTAAAAAAATGTAACGGATCCAGAAGGAATCCATTACTTGGCCAAATTGTATGAGAGGAAAGTTGTACATTTTTTTTATTGATAGAAGGCAAAATTAGAGGCGTAGAATAGAAAAACATCTAATGTTATATGTTTAGTAAGACAAATCATTAGTTTGTTACTCATCAAAACCCACCAGAACAATAGCGTTGCAAACTGCCCAAATGTCTAGTGTTTTGCTAGGTTCAACCTGAATTTTGCCAGCAGAAAATTATTTTTGTCGATCTAATGGTTTTAAACACATCTGATGGCTCAAGATAAGAATAGACCGTTTTGTGTCATTCTTTGTATGGTTTCAGTTAATATTTTGAGCCCATTAGCTTCAAATTTAATTGAAAAAATCATGCCAGTGGCATTAAAAATATATCCTTTTTGATGAAAAAGAAATTAATGAAAATGATTTGGCCTTTTGTGCACTCTGTATACCTAAACTACTAATGAATCATACTCGATATGCAACCACATTCGTACTGATAGTGAAAACCTTTTACAGATTCAACATGCATAAAAAACAAGTTTTAGTAGCAATAGCTATCTGTATACTCTTTTGTTGTTCATTTTATGAAACAACACGATTACAGGATGCTGAATATGATGATGTACAAATACAACCTAGAAAACAACAACCTTGTTGTACTGGAAAACCTGAAGGAAGATATCATGTGCACAATTGTGGTGGGAAATGTTGTTCCGATGATTCTATACATCAGCCAGGTAAATAGCGTCGCCAGTCGCGCTATGCACTATCCTCTTAATTCGGTTTTTGAACTTATTTATTAGGAATGGGAAGAATTGGCGCGGTTAATGTAAGACAAACGAAAGATTTAGATGGACAAGATATATGTGGTTATTGTTTTCCAAATTATAGCTCTAAATGTAACGTCAATTGATCATTTGACCAACAAACACGAGCATGTCGTTCAAAAGCGATCAACTTCTTTTTTAAAATGATTGTTTACTTCTGCTAGTATGATCCTTTAGACTTTAAATAAAATACCTAATATAACAAGAGATTTCAGCCAAATGAGTAATAAACAAAAAAGGCGGCGACTATCAGATCTAAACGATGAACTTGAGACTTTACTATATCGAATAATCTTTCCGTTAACCAAGGAAATTCAATTATTGCTACAGTGGCGGATGCAGAACAAACTAATTTAAAAACATTTATTCAGTTTTATTCTGTCCTGCCACGACTAGTAAAAATTTAGACAGCTAAAAATACATTTTGCTAGATTTATATCAAAAGAATTTAACTTGAATGAATATTCAATTACAGTAAATAGTCTCGTGTGTCCACTCACCAGAACTGATTGATAAAAATAATTGTGCCGGTTTCGGCGAGCTGAGTGGGGAGGCACTAGAGACCAGCAAGCTTTTGCCCAAAACCATTTAAAGACTCTAAATGAAAGATTGTTTGACTACTTTATCATTACAGTTTTATAACTCAACGTGAGTATTAAGCAATAGTATTCAATTTTACACTTGAGTTGGTACCTTGAAAGTGTGATTCAATAATTCATCCTCATCTCCTCCTTCAAGCGTATCATTTTTTTAAAGAGTTTTTTGAATATTTAGAGTTGAATTGAGCACAATATTTGTCAATAACGAGCGATATATGAGCATCATATTCAACACTAAATTTTATCACAGTGACGGTGCAATTTGTTGACAAAAATTTTGTTTTACACAATCGAACCACAAAAAAGATCTCAATCTGGGCTGGCTTGGTTGCTTTGCACATTTAACACAAACAATAGTAAAAGTCGGCTCAGATGTTCGTGGTATCAAAACACAAATCAAAACGCCGACAAAACAGTCTGTGACATTTGAGGTGGTTATAAAGCTAAGGACAGTCTCAGAGGTGCTCAACAATCCATCAGTCTCAGCACTCGCAATTTGATACAAGACGTTGAAACGCGCTGGAATAGCACCTTTTATATGTTGCAACGTTTTGCCGAAGACGAACCGGCACTATCTATTTGCTTCGTGAACCAAGATTTCTTGAATCGATTTAAAGACCAAGAATCATCACACGTAATTATTTTGCTGTACTCTTTTAAACCGTAGTCAGATACCTGTGTTTTTTGAAACACAATGAGTGCTGTAAGTGAGACAGTATTGGAAACGGAAGGAGACTGAAGAACAAATTTTATTTGCTTGGAACCATTCTTGATCCCCAATTTAAACAGTTCTCGTTTGCTAATCTCAGTCTATTTACTCAAAACGGAGTGGTAGTTCAAACACTGATTAAATCGAAGTCCGGTAATGCTCGAACATTAGCGGAAAACGTCTTGTGCGATGAATATTCGAAAATTATGTCAGGAACCTCAGCAGCAGGCACCACGGCTCAGCTTCAACCACAAACTACAATTTCTCTTCTATCACAAATAGTCAATAAACAACCTTCAGTTTCTGCCAATGAGAATACATCGTATCTCAGCGAACACGAAATTAGTGACAACAAATGTGAGCTTGTATGGTGTCGTGAGAACAAGGACCGATATCTTATCATTGCAAAAATAGCACCCAAGTATCTCTGTTTTCCAGCGACAAGCACGCCATTCGAACGTGTTTTTTCTCTAAGCGGGTATACCACGAGTGATCGATGTTCACGATTGTCATGCTAATGACATTATTTTTTTAAACAAAATTACTACTTCATAGATTGAACAGTCAAGCCTTTCTCGGCAAACTCTTGGCTCATGGGCTTGCAGAGCGAGAGAACCGCGGTCAAACTCGATCGCTGCTACATAATCGAATTCAATTTCTGATGCTGAATCTGAATAAAATATTTTCAACAACCTAGAGTAAACGTAAACTAGCAAAATCCTCAGTTTTCTCGATACTCGTCAAATTTTCGTTTTTAGGCAGTGACTTGTATTTCCAAGTTTTTCTCATCCAAAACTTGCTCTAAAAAAATTAAAAATAACATATTAGAAATCTACTCCGCGGGCTCTATCCAACCACGTGTAAATCAACGAGAAACAAATTCTGCTTCACTTCTGCATTTGAAACGCCTTAGAAGCAGAACGCTGTTAATGCAAGAAGGAATAAAAAGGCAAATTAAGTGGAGAATGTAGCAGGTTAAAAACATGTGCTATTCCATCCCATGTTTGTCTCTTGTGTCGCTTATTTTGGACATTTAATATTTAGGTATAAGTAAGTGACGCATGCATTGGTATCAACAGAGGCACGGAAAGTGTCTTCAGTTTGATCAGCACATTGTAAAGCAACAACGGTTGCTGATGAGCATTGCTCAGCACTCGGACGCTCGCATGTGTCTCGATTGTTTCCATTGATGTATGTCATGGTCACACCATCGGTTTAAGTGGATCAATAAAATTCCACGCTACTCCGGCACCGTCAGCACCAAATGCACCAATCAAAGTGACACTACCTAGTACATGGGGATTACCCCGAGTACAAATATAACACACAGAAGTTGGGATTCTTCATGAATATTGGCATGCGCCATCATTCACTGGGCCACAGATATTCATTTTGTATGTGTTAGTAACAACCCCCACATCTGTGCCAATATAATCGCTACCATTATTACGATTTAAAAAAGAAAAATCATAATCAGAAAAGAAACAACCTTTTATGGTTCAACCAGCTGCCACAGTACTGATGTCACTGTTGTGTTGATTGTTATATTTGTTATCTCCGCGAGTTAGTTTCATACATACCTAGGTATAGTAAGAATTAAAGCGTTGGTAAGTATTTTGAGTGGTTTCTCTGCTAATCACGGTGAAGTAATAAGTCTCTCAGTGATTCCGACTATTATCATGCGAATGATTACGGTGAAGCAGATTTTGGAAAAGAGTACAATGCTTCCAATTTCAGCCATAAGAAGAATTTCAAGAGTAGACTTGATTAAATACGAAGGACAATTATCAGGACAATTATTATCTAGTTGAAACTTTTAAAAGGAGTATCTGCCGTAATGGAAATGAATAATGCAAAAGTCACATAGGCATTAGACCTCTGTTTTCCCGCACACATGGAATAAATTAGAATATATCGACTTTTAAGTAACAAGGAATGTGTATCTTCTATTCATACAGCCCCATGACTTATGTAATTATGTCCTCCAATACAAAACTTAAATCGAACGATATTCAAGCCCAGAGCCGTTGTTTTGTTTCCTCGAGACCGGTCCAAAAATGCATGAATACATGTTATGATCTCCATTTTAATTTGTTTTGTATCATTTTATTGGTCAGCAGGTGCATGTTGACCATGAAAATAAAGCATCTAGAATCGAATGGAAAAGAATTAAATTTCTTCAAAGTCCCGGTTTGAAACATTTAATGCTCCTCTTTTCCCTCAAGAACGCTAGAAATTCGTTTCTTAGAAATGGTTGGAACACCCATTTCAACAACAGGTTCAGATGAGAAAGTCTGTTCTAGATATGACTTGCAATATGTTCCTTAAAGTTATCACTCTTCTACTATAGTTGGATTCACAATAATCTCACGTTCTGTTTTGCCAAAAGATAAATAAGTCACGAAAAACAAGAAACTTATTTTTGGACTTCATAGACATAATATGTAATGCAGAGATGTTTTGAGAAATGGCTCGTATCGGCCAATTCGGCGCATTCTTGTCTAGGGACCATTGTCCGTTAAAAAAAAGAATGGGCGTAACTAGTTTTTCAACAAGTTTTGAACAATGTATTTTGACGACTTGCGGTTTTCAGAGTTGCATAAAAAAGATAATTAGCTACAAGATGCCATAAGAATATCTTATGAAATACCACCTACAGGCGGGGAACCTTATTAGTCTCTGAACGGAAGTACTTATAAACACTAGTAACGAAATATGCAAGTGATATGTATTTTGGAATGCTCATAACTTCAGCTGCCCAAACATATAGGAACGTCGTCTATAAGCCTTCTACTTGGGATACAGGAGCCGGATCAAGAGACATAGGTAAAAAACAGTCTACCATACGGTTGTCAGACGTAGTTCTTACATATTTGATTAGCGGAGCTAACAAGCATTCTAAAACACATAACACTTTTATATTTCGAATTAATTTTGCTCAAAAATGACTTATCCCCGAAAAACTGTCATAAGGGTCATTTTCCTATAACCGACCTCTAGGCAGCTCCCATTGTTATATTTGGGATCGTCATCATCAATTACCTATAATCTCCTAAACTTTAGTTAAAAAGCAGCTGAGCAGTTTCCTCGTTAATATCATTTCCACTGAATGTAGTTTTGTGAAACATTGACTCGATAGTATATCACCATAATTATACTTACATACGGGATTATGTCCTCTGTTATCACATATTATAACGAGCTTTTATTATGACAAAATATACACAACAATGAAAAATCATACTGTTACCGCATGTTTGTAATCTGCATCCCAAACAAAACATTTTGTGGCCTGGTGGTCCAGTGGTAAGATTCGCGCTTCGGGTGCGTGAGCCCCGGGTTCGATTCCCGGCCAGGCCCCATTATGTTTTTGTTCTTTTTTATTTCTATTCACATATCATGTGCACAGAAAGACCAAAATTATGTCATGGGATGTTATTTTCGGCTTTATTCTTCTCTCAAAGAACGATGTAGTATTTCATTCTCATATGAGAGGTGGGTTATTTGTAAAACCTGAAGAAAAACATGGAAACGTTTGTAGTACAGCACCTGAGTGAGATATAATTATTTATCTCAAAATATTTGGCTGCACGCAATACTAGGTGATTCGCACATATATAAAATATTCTGAGAAATTCTTTTGCCATGAGTAATTTTTCTTAATTTTAAATAGTATCACTCCGAGTGATACCGCTAACATGTGACTTGAATTTTTTCACAGTACTATCCCTTTTTAAAATGGCAAAAGTAACCAGCGTATTATATAAAATTCAACTTACGAGGGAAAGCCCCCAACTGTCAAGAAGCTTTTGGCCCAAAAATTAGTGGACAATAGGTAATCGAGTGTCCTGATTCCGAATATTACATTGGTTTGGGCCCAATTTTAGTTTAAAGACTCGGTTTTTGAAATACTAGGTTTTGGGATCGAAAAACCATTTGCAATTAAAAAGTTTTTGATCCGTGAATATAAAAGAGCATATAAACCCACGTAAAACTGTTTTTCAAGGTTTTAGAGGAGGTTTTGAGCGGGTTTTGAAAGACTAAAACTTAAAACTACACCAAGGAAAACGCGTTTTCGCACTTATGCGTTTTGTACGATAAAAATACTGTTTTCTAGGTTATCGAACGTGCCAAATTCGAATATTTCATTGTTTTCAGCCCTTAGAAGAGCTAAAGATTTGGATTTGACGGAGACAATAGTTTGATACAAAAATCTTTTACACGAATGAAACAGTTTTTCGACATGCCTAGATCAAAAAAATGAATTAAAAGACAATTTGAATGAGTTACCTTGAATGATTTTTCTGATTTCACGGTTATTTTTATAAACAAGCCGGTTGAAATATGACTAACAATTTACGAAAAAAAACTCGCTTCAACGGAAATGATAACTCACAAAAAAGTGTTCAAAATATGGTTTCTTTGAACATCGTACCAAATACCCAAACCCAATACAACCAAGTCGCTTGGGTTTGGGTTTATAACATATCTAGCCGTTATGTCTCTCTCCTAGAGTATGGGAGCTTCTCCGAGCATCTAAAGTAGTCATCGCAGTCATCTGCCGTTACAGAGATACGTTATTTATCTCTGGTCCCAGCCAAGCATTGCAGGACAAATGATCACTGGGTACTACCGTTTCATGCAACTGAGACACTTCTTTTAATGAAACAGACTTTTTCCGGCATGTCTTTGCTGTTCACGCATCTGATGTCTGTTTGAAGAGTACATTGAGTTACATAGCCATTCTGTTCTCGACGACTGTAGAACATTATAACCGGTCTTCGTCAGAAGTGATTATGAATAGTTTCGACACATAAAATACTGTTGAAGGATATATCGCACCATGGTAATCTCAGAATTGAGCACAAGGTAAGCTTGACCGGACAGCTAATAGTGCTAAGCAACGGGTGATGAGCAAAATTGTTTTTAGCAACGCCTAAAATTCATGCGTAGTAGTAATTGCTTGGATTATGGTCACTGCTCACGATGCAAAGTTAATACTTGTACTAGACTTGTTAGATTGTCTCTCTTTCCCTGTTGATCCAAGCGTTTATTTTTCCACGTCCTTTCTTTTTCTCTTCCGTTTATTTAACTGAACTGCTGAACCTCTTCTCGTCAGCAGAAGCAAAATTAACAGAATAATAAAAAAAGAGAGAGAGAAAAAAAGGAACTAAGGAGAAAAACGAATAATCATTGATCAAAGGCTGATTAAAAGTATTTGATATTAAATAATTAATATTAAATTCGTTTGTGAACAACGATATAATACCATTGAACAAAAAGCACTTGCTATTTATAAATGTTTTGCACATATGCGATCATTCATACTAGGACGAAGCATCATCATCATGATAGACCATTGTCCTTTGTGTAGTATATTAGAAAGAACAGTTAGAAATGTCAGAGTAGATCGTATTGCAAATCTAATACAAGAATATAACGTCGAGCAAGTAATTCATATTAAAGGTAGAGAAACTTGTCTTCCTGACTTCTTATCACGTCATCCACGAGATTATGATGACTAAAACAATGTTGATTATGGCTTGGCAAATAAGGATTTAGTTGCAGAAGTTTCTAAACCCTCTTTCTTGCTGCCCGTGGCAGCAGGAGTAGGAGAACAAAGGTCTTCTACACCAAATCTTATATCTGCTATGACATTAAGATCACACAATAAAAATATATAGTAACGCAGCAACAACACTATCTGACGACGATAATAATCCATCCCTTCATAACGATTCAGATCCAAATTCAGAACCAGAGAATGATTTTGCATCAAATATTCTAACAAATTTTTCACATAATCATTTTGATGTTACGAGATTGAAGGAAGAACAAAGTAATGATTTTGAGATTCAAAAGATAATCCATGATAATACAATACATTCTAAACAATCCTCGTTTACTTTTAAAGATAATATTTTATATAGACTAATTCAACCATCTCGTAATTCTAAAAGAAAAATTCACGTAGTATTCACGTTCCAACGTCAATGATCAAACCATTACTTTATGCAATACACAAAGATCCGATGAGTGGCGGGCATTTTTCGATTGATACAACGTATAACAAAATCAGAACGAAATATTGGTGGCCAAACATGAAGTATTCAATAATCAAACATATAAAAGCCTGTTTAAAATGTCAACAACATATGGTTTAAGCTTTAATCTTGAACCAAAACGAAATCGAGAATATAAATTCCCATTACATCGTTCTGAAACTTAAACTATCAAAACACAAAATCAATCCTTGCACGAAGCTAGGATCGAACACACGAACTTGGTCTTTGCAGAAGAACTGCAAAAATCAACTTCGCTGTTCTTTTCTATATTCTGCACAATGATTGAACTTGTGCAATTACTCGATGTTATCCTTCAACGTGCATTTTTTATTGTGTTTTGTGTTTGGTTTAAGCTTTAATCTTGAATCAGAACGAAATCGAGAATATAAATTCCCATTATAAATCGTCAAAGGAAACATAGTAAATTACGTCCTGTACCGCCACTGAAGGGACCCTTTCAGTTGATCGGTATCGACTACTGCGGACCTTTAAAACGGTCTCCTCGTGAACATCAATACGTCCTCGTAATAACAGATTATTTCACTAGACATATCACAGCAGTTGCGTTACCTAATTGTATTGCACAAACAACAGCTCAAACATTATTTAATCAATACTTTTGTAAATTTGGTATATCAGCAGTAATGTTAAGTGACCAAGGACCATACTTTACTCTTACTCAAAACATACTTATAGAAAACATATCAAAGTTAATAGGTTACAATCACATATATTCCACACCTTATCATCCTCAAACCAATGGCATTGTGGAGTGGTTTAACAGCACTTTAGTCCACAAACTGCCAAATTACAAGACGATCAACAGAGTTACTGGGATGAATGTTTACAGGCTGTAGTATTTGCATATAATTCCAGATGGTCTAACTGATTCACAACGTACATCATGGTTGAAAGCCGGTAAACAAGCACTTGAAAACCAGCAGTTAAATGCAGTTACACCAGCATCTGAATACGATAAAAGGCATTATGGATCACCTATCTTCATTCATTCTCTAACAGAAGATAAAACATTAAATGAATTAATCTCAAAAATTAAATCTATAAGGGAATATATGATAGATACCGAAAGTGATTCAAACATCGGGCAAACCAATTGTAATCGTAAGCAACAAAATGAACCTGCCATTATTCAAATCCAAGTGATAGAAAGTGAAGAACGTTCAACTGTGATTATAATTGAAGCACAATTTCTCCTTGATCCATCATCAGATAAGTTTTTATATTCACGCAATTATTTCTACTATCAAATATAATTCATTTACACAATAGATTTACTAATGAATGGAATAAACATTACTGAAATATCATAGGCACGTTGCAACATGTCAACAAAATAAAGCTGATATTGATGTAAAGAATGATTACGATCTTCTATATGATCATGACGAAATGCACGATCTTGATGAATTTGTTTCAATGGATAATCACGTCAAAAATCAATTAAATGATGATGAAAATTCTGATCATAACTATTGTGTATGTCCAGATCCTATAAGCAAAAAGGAGCATCATGGTCGCTTCAAAAACCTGTAAAAACAATATTTGATAGGGCAATTGATAAAGAACTACAAAACAATTTTTGGTCCTGTGGATTAGATACAAACTTAAAAACATATGAAACTGATTATGATAATGAGACAAGATAATTAATTAATGACACGCTGTGCTATTAATGACGTATTAGCACCTACTTGTCTTTATTTTCTTTTAGAAAAAATATTGTATATTTAAATCTCCAATATCTCAATTTACATCAACATTAAAATCATCATCACCATCTACATACAATCAATAGTAGTAAAACCAAGTGAGGACATAACAACATCATCAAGAGCAACAGTAAATATGAAACCAAATATATTAGTATATGCAGATAGTCACGGGAAAAATATCGCTAAATATAAACCATCATCACGCAATTATGAATTCTTCCGTCGATTGGCTACCAGGCAGAAGAAGGCTTGATACATATACACCATGTTTGTCAGCCATTGAAACTATTGTCGCACCAGCTACATCGTCACGTCTATCATCCATATTATCTTAATTTTAATCATCGCTGCAAATTCTGTGCGCAATGTACCATATGTAGCAGAGGATAAAACAGGCCAACTTCATGTAGGCCTGGCCTGCCCATGACAGGCTATCGACTTTCACAGCCCGCCTGTGCCTGCCATTCATTTTTACTGGCCTTGCCTGCTTGCCTGTGATTTTGCTCGGCCTGTCTGACCTGCCCGGCCTGCCTGTCAAACGATATATGGTGCAAAAAATAATCATCCAGTGGTAACGTACGAACAAATGTATTCAAAACTAAAAGAATCCCATGAACGAGTTGGGCATCATAGAGTAACTACTGAATAGAAAGTTCGATCACGTCTATGTTCTTTTTAGACGTTTCTCTCACCTGTTTTTTCCGGCGGATCTGCTAGTGTATTCCAGTTTCAACTATAGTGAAAATTGGGATGTCCTATTTCTTTTCCTGTTTCACTAATAAAGGACAGTCTAGTGTGTATTGTTACTTCTATTTACACTGTATTATAGTAAATTCCGATTTCCACTATAGTGTAAATCAGAAAAATCTGTATGATTTGTTATTTGCATTTCACAATATTAATCATCGTATCAATCAGCTTTTGGGAAAAATGTTTTTTGTGCACGGTTACAGAAAGGTTCTCAATACACTCCACATATTTTTTCTTTAAACAACAGTGGTTTGGTCATATCTCGACAATGAAGACAGGTGGACCCTAGCTATTTCTAGTTTTTTCAAGTCTCATCGAGGTCTACTTATGGCCAAAAGATGGAGTCAAAAGTAGAGACAGTTGAGGCTCTTCTAGGGATGCACTTTCTCTTTCTTTCTCAAAAAAAGAAAAATGAAAATTAATTTTTCTTTCTTTTGGGAAGTTTTCTACTTTCCGGCTTTCCTTTCCCAAAAAAAAAGAAAGTAAAGTATGATCTAACTTTGTTTTGTATCTTTCTCGATGAAGAAAACACTTTATTGTAAGACCAAGCCCATATTCCTGATTAGCATCGAAAACCGAATCAAGTATGCGTTTTGCAAAAAGTTGCCAAAAGCCTTTTTTTTCCGCAAAATACAACACTAAATTTGGTTTTCGATGCTGATCACGAATATGGGCTTGGTTTTGCAATAAAGTGTTTTCTTCGTCGAGAAAGATCCAAAAGTAAGTTAGAGCATACTTTACCTTCTTTTTTTTTGGGAAAGGAAAGCCGAAAAGCAGAAAACTTCCCAAAAGAAAGAAAACTTAATTTTTACTTTTCTTTTTTTGGAAAAGAGTGAGAAAGCGCCACCCCTAGGCTCTTCCTTCCTAAGTGCTACGAAGTATTTAAAAGTACGTTTAACGGAAACTGATTTTAGGCGTTCTCAGTTAGTAAAATATTTCAAAACAATCTTCGAGGTTCTTCCTGGAAAAGACAGTTCGCTGGCATTGACCTTTTGGATCTAAAAACGAACCTGCGACGTACGGATATAAACGTAGTACATATTTATAACTTTTATGAGCAGAATCAGTTTAGCAGTCAGTTTATGGGAAACGTTTATCATATCATCCTAATAAGTATCTATGATGTACCTGTCTGACAGAGGATGAGACGAATTTTCGAAAAATGAATCCTAAACTAAACCTCTTCGTTTAGTTCATTTACACCGAGAATTATAAAAACAAAAGGCCTGAAAATGTATCATGTACATACATACATGTACATTTACATACATGTATGTATGTAAATGTGTTGACCGAGCTAAAAAAGCCTTGCTAATACTGAATATTGCGATACCGATGCTTGAAAAATCGAGATGAAAACTATTTGAAATAATTTAATGGACGCACACCTCATATGCTGCTTGTCTTATAGAATGTATCGTGTCCAGAGATCTCAGAGTGAAAAGCAAGGGGGAAAAATCTCACTTCAAGTGTGTGCACTTATGACTGAAGTGTCACTTCAAGTGTCACTTCAGTCATAAGTGCACACACTTAAAGTGGCGAAGTGACCCTCTAAGAATATGAGTCAGTTTTAGAGGGAACGTAGTTTTAGTCTATAGTTTGTGCTTCCTTGACTGTTCTTCACTTCTCTGAAGAAAATTGCTATCCAAACTTTGAATCTTGTTGTAAGAAGAACTTTGGTTACAAACCAACAGTCGGCTATACCTACTATCTGCACCAAAATTCAAGGCACTTGGTTGTTTTTCTAATAAGTCTATAACGATAAAAGACAGGAATTTGCGATTTCCAACAATCGAAAGAAGACAGTTTAACCTATGTTTTCATAAGCAAAACCCTTTTCCAAAGCCATTTGGCAGATCGATTTTATAGGAGGTTTTTGAAAAAGCACTTCGGATCTCCGGAAACTGAGCTAGAAATCTATCAGTTTTTTTCCATAAATAGATAGTCCAAAGTGTCTTCTCGAAAGTGCGAACTTAGTTAACTCTTAAGTTATATTAGATGGAATAACTTATTTTTGCCTATTTTCAAGTATAATTAAAAAATTCATAATCCAGTCAAGATCCATCCAAATTATGTCAGAATATTAAGTTGTACTCTATTTTACCTGCTCAATATGATTTTTTACTTGAGAATAGTAAAAATCATTCTTGTACTTCGGAAGATTTCTACAGAAAGCAGTAGTAGTAGAAAAACCAAAAAACAATGAGGAGTTACAAGAATCAAACTCGCTACAACGCTACAAGAACTTTCTCTTTTTCCTCAGAAACTCGATGTTTCTCTAGAAGAAATTTATTTTTTTTGTTGAGAAACTCGGTATTACCACGCAAGAACTTGTTTTTTTCCTGAGAAATTGGATGCTTGTCCTCAAAAGCTTCATCTTAATTCCTGAGAAATTGGATTCCTCTCACCCTCACCCTTCCAATTACAACTAACTCTTCTAACCATGAAGCAAGCCCCTCTGATAAATTTAAAAGCAGGTACCACTCGTCTATCGCGGACGGTCGGTTGGCCGCTTGGACATTTCGTTCGTGTGACCCTTACTTTCAGGCAAGGCACTAATGCCAGTTGGACTGGTCTATTATTGAATGTTGTCTATAGTACGTAGGTGTGCGAGGTCTGGTTGGGGCTCAGCGACATTTTATTTGTAACCTACAATCGTATTTTCCTATATTTTGGCTTTCACATTTGTTATACTCAACCAACAGACATGTCTATAAGTGAACTAAGGCAAATGTATTGATTAGAATAATCTAGGATGACAAGTATGATACGCATTTTTGCACTGGTACATGCAAAGAAAAAATAGGGGGAATGCTACCGAGTATTCCGGATCATAGAGTACCCAGTTACATTATCCTAAGGCTATCTCATATATCATTTTGTAGCTCGTGAAATTCTCTATCGAACAGTGTATAACAGTTGATATTTGCTCTGGGTGAAACAGGTTGAATAATGTAAATACTTTGAGAAAACGTCGCTTAACGCGAGAAGAGTTTTTTTTGCTAAAAGGTTTCCAGGGGTACTGAGAAGGAGTTTTAAGGTTTAAAAATATGTTAGACACCGTGGACAAAAACTAAAAAAACAAATCGTGGACAAAAACTGCATCAGATGAGTTAACATAAGACTGATTTGAGCGTGGGCGATTTTGCCTCTTATCGTCCCCCGTCCTTTAGGAAATAGCACCAAAAACTGCTGAAGAATCTTTTAAACTTAACCCTATAATAAGAAGAGACTTTTTTTCTGGCTTAAAGCTGAATTATTTGATGGAGCATAAATCGTTGACTATATGATCTCAGTTTAATGTTTCAGACTGTTTTAAGTGACAGTAGAAAAAAAACGAAAATCTGAATTTTTTCTTATGTTCTAACCGTTTCGGAAATTTTCGACCTCTTACCGGAAATTTCTCCATTTTCTGTCAACTGAATGAACTAAAACTATGCAAATATCTATGCGTACCAACACAAGACAACATATCAAAGTAAATCAGCTTGTAAACATCTATAAACATATTGTAGTATTACCTCTAAGGCGAAATATCTGAAGAATATATTTACACCACCAGGAAAGTTAAGGAAAAAATAAATTAATCCAGATAACGCAGAGCACTATCTTCTTCGTCTATATAATTATAAACATTCGATAAAATATAAAACTTGTCTTTTCGCATTTATTGCTTCAACAGAAAAGATATTCTTTCCCCATAGAATAAAAGTGTGCAGAAAGAAAATCGAACGAAACGGAACTAGATCAAAAGAAAGAAATATACAAGCGTCATCTGTGATGTACTTGAGTTAAAGTATAATTATTTTTATTTGCTCTCTTAGATGCTACATAAATTCATTCTCCAAACCCTTTTTCGCTCACTTCTTGTCTAAAAAGGCTGAAATTTTCAGGGAACGATTAGCAAAGGTCATAGAGTGTAAGTCGAATCGAAAAATTATATAGGGTTTTCAGTTTATGCATACGATATTTTAGCGGATCAAATTAATTTCTTATTTCTGTAGCTTTGACCAGACAATGAACATTTAGGGTTTGTCTTGTAAATTCTATAACTTTGCCAAGAAAGGTCTTGTAGGACTGGGACACGTCTCCTTCTAATCGAAAATTTGCGGGCTACAATTATGCCTCATTAAGAAAGGTTTCAGTTACTTTTTAGAGTTTCTGAAAACCTGTTTTTTGCAGAAAACCGAGCCTCTGAAGCCGTTTGGTCAAAATGATATTCGGAATCAGCATTGTCGATTACATATAGTAATGTAAGCTCCGAGCATGTATACCTTATATACGTTAGTTATTATGGTAAAAATTCGGCCAAAAAATATTTTGTCCAATCAGAGATATCGTAGCGGTAAGTTCGATCAGAGGTGAAAAACTCGGCATCGACGGAGAGACTCAATCCATATAAAACCTACCATCATTTACACCTATCTTTGGCGTCAGTAACGAGATCTATCTCATCCTATAGAGCTCAGCAAGTTGAATCGAATGGTGGAAACCGCAAGTATCTTGCCTTGTTAGAAGAAAAGTTATAGCCATTTTACCGTCGCAGCGGAAAAATGCATTTTTTATGCATTTTTTCGCCGGATTTTGCCTAGCTTGTGGAACATCTGCTCACCACATTCTCTAACATAGAACCTTGAAGTTGGTATCAAATGAAAGAGCGCGTCGAGTTCTACATAATTCGATGAAGAAAAGTTATGCTATACCTAAGCATGCAAACGGTTATTAACCGTTAACCGTAAATAACCGCTTTATAACAACTTAGTGTATATTTGATTTTTAGTTCGTTGATATCGGTTTACATTAGAAGTAGGCAAGGATGGTCTTTGTCCTGACGTTATAGTGCATCTACTAATAAATTTATGAAAATTCTAGGGAATGGGTAATCGACTATGAAGAATTCGAAAATGAGTATAAGGGACCTCTAGCACGCATTCTATTGGTCAGAAACCTACTTTTGACTGGATGAAAATGAAAGAGAAAAAGTTATCGACTATGAGGAATCCGAAAATGAGTATGAGCGACCTATAGAACGTATTCTATTGATCAGAAACGTCCTCCCGGATTCCGGGATCTCACAAACATACTATTCAAGGAGAGACAAGCACTTCGCTTATTGTGAAGGTTTCGGTCAAACACTTGCTTCGTACAACGGGTGGAGCGAGCGCTGGAAAGTGAGAGTGAGTCATGGAAGCCCGGAACCCTAGGCCCGTAACAAACATGTTCTTGTGTCGACGTGCGATTACCGCACTCGTGACTTTCATTGCTATTTTCGGCCGTTTCCGATATTCATCTTATTTTGTATGGCACTTTTCGACGCAACATTGTAGAAACTTGGTCAGCATCTCATTTTATGGAGAATTGAAAGAGCTATCCAATGATATGGTTGAAAAAATTCTGAAAAAAACCTTTAAAATCACAAGGCTTTCTAGAAAATTGGGTTTTTCAGAAATCTGTATCCCAAGGTGTAGCATAACTTTCTTCATCGATATATATAGAACTCGACGCGCTCTTTCATTTGATACCAACTTCAAGGTTCCATGTTCTATGCTAGAGAATGTGGTGAGCAGACGTTCTACAAGTTAGGCAAAATCCGCCGGAAAAATGATGTACTTCCTTGCAAAAATGGCTTCTTATTCGAAGCACGGCTTCTTTCAAGCGGCGTAGGAGCATACTTTGTCTTTAACTTTGATAAATCCAAGTCTATCAAGTGTCTTGAATAAGACTTCTTCTCTAAACTGTACTTGACCCTGCCATTACGTGTTTCGTTCTTTGGTTAGCAGAACTCATCAGATGGCATTGAGCGAAATAGCAACTGTCATATAACAGCAGAAATGCAGCGAGAGGCTCCACCACTGGCTTCCCTGCTCCTTCCAGCTTTTACGCTCCAGCTGTAATTAATCAGAGTTCAATGGTTTTGACCGAGCCAGAATATGACCTCCTTAAAAAAGGCCCTAAATATGTCATCAACGGTACACGTACGGCTAAGAAACGACATGGTGATGAATTGGATGTAGCTCGTGATAAAATTAATAACAAGCTCATCCGAAAAGCATCTTAGGCGGTCGTAGTATGATGGCTCCGTTTTTCAAAGACCTTGGAAAAGCATTGATAGAATGTCAATGACAAAAGAGTAGTTTCAAGCGAAAACAAACCTGCAAAAACTTCATCTTGTCAAAAGGTTGAATCTCCGAATAAGGAAGACGAATACGATTCTTCGAAAAACCGATAAATCTAAAGTTTTCCACTTAGGTAAATCATCCGATTATAAAGACAAAGCGCAGAAGTACATGATAAAAACTTTGTTTGTTGCAATGGCTAAAGGATCGTTGATTACGGGAGGTATCTATTTGGTCGAACGGTTACGGAAATGGGCGCAATTTAAACTTACAAATGAGACGGTATTCGTTACGATCGATGCGTCATATTTATATACGATAGTTCCACAAAAGGGCGGATTAGAGCAATTAGAAAGTTGATGTCAGATCCTAGCAGAGTCTGGTACAAAAGAAACCTTGTAAACAGTTATTAAAATAACTGATAATTATTACATATATCGGATGCGACTGAAGCGCAACGAATAAGCGATATACGATTCTGTGAGCACAGACCTGTTCACAGGAGATCCCGTTTCCTCACGATAACCATAAAGGTTTTATGAGCAGAATAAAACTGCCCTCTTTTACCTTATGATGAATAGAAAAGTTATTTGTATGACGTGCATTATACATTGGATACATCACCAGTGAAATTAGTTTTATTTGTTCAAGACTATTGTTCGCCACAATAGAAAATGTTTTATTAACAGTATAATTCTCACCGATAAGTTCAAATTTTCCTATTGATAATAAGAGCTTGCATACATTCCGCTTTTTTGGCTAATTTCATCTCCGATAACATTATGCCATTCAACGATAACTGTAAAATCCAAGTTACAAACTGGGTTCAAAGAGCCTGAAATTAAGGCATTTGTTCTCGTATCGCTCTTTATCTCGGCTAAAAAAGATCAGAAACGTGTCAGTAACAGTCTTTGATTATTATTCTGTCAAGTGACTTGATATCTGCAGCCATTTTGCTTCATTCAAAAATTAAGACTAGCGTATATAAAAGATGAATCATTGCCTCATCCAGAGATTAAAAGCTTAGCGTCTTTTATTTTAAAAGCTGAACGCTTACGGACATAGACAAAACGGCCGTCAGCCATACCATGGACACGCCAATCAAAAGCATACGGCAATAAGCGTACACACTAATGCAGATACATCTGCGATAACGTGCAACATCTATGATGTCTCCACATATTTGCCTATTTTTAGTGTACAAGGTATACGATATTACAGCAGACGGCCGATCATAGTAATAAATTGATCTTTGTTCATAAAACCTAGAATTTACCAGACGATACATTTAAGTGAAAAATTTTCACTGTTCGTCTATATATTTCATCTCCTTGTCAAAAGATTTAATTATATAGATAAGGAGACAATATGAATATCGAGGTATCTCAGGTCTTGTATACACAAGAATTAGGATTCATTAGACAAGAGAATGAGAGACTCAAACGGACGTATTGTAAAAAATGTCGTTAAATGCTAGATTATTTTCACATGGGATGCCGCTTGTTTACCGATCCAAAATCGTCTCTGAAAATTTCGATTATTTGGGAAGTTCTCCGATCGCAACTCACCCGTCCCTTTCGTCACTCGTCCCCCGAAATTTTACTAGGGGCTAGCAGCACTTCTTCCTCTCAGTGGCTAAGCCACTAGTTTCTTTATTGAATTACAAATAATAATCCGTTTACAACAATGGTTGATGTTTGACCGTTAATAAAATATGCTGTCACCCACCATTGTCCACCTTGCTTTGAAAATCGAACATTTGGTGTAACTTTGCAAAGACCACCATTATTCATTGAACAATTTGCTTGTGTTGGAAAATAGTAAGAATTAATTTTTCCTCCAATATTTGGGTTGCCATAATCATTTACCCACAAAAGATAACTGTTTGCTCCAGGCACACTTGGCCATGCAAAATGCGGTGTTTGTGTAGAAATCAGCCCATTAGGATATACTGTTGATGTCGCTGGTGTTGTTACTGCCACTGTTACTGTTGTTGTTGGTGATATAATTCCATTAAAATTTTTAATTTTTCTTATATATACCAGGCCGCTCGGTTTGATTTGAAGATTTGAGTTGAATAAACCAAAATGGCCTTCGCGATGAGCAACATTTTTCCGATCACTGAGTTCATAAAAACAAGCAGCATATACAAATTTCCATTGGCGTATGATGTCGATTGCGCGTTCTAAATGATCGGCTTGTCCTTGTAGCCCGGCGCCATTCCATCCATCGAAACTACTGAAACCAAATTCTGTAAACCAAATCGATTTTGATGAATCCATCTGCGCTACCATGGCTGCTCGTATTTGTTCAACACCATTTCGAAAACACCAAAATTTCGACGTTGGAGTTGGTGGAAAACAATCATCAGGTCCATATTCTTTACCATATAGACTATGACCCTGAGGATATACAGCTGTGTAAGGATGCATAGCTAATCCGGTAAAATAATTTTTGATACCCGACCTGTACATTTCATTCAAATAATAAACATCACCGCTGGCTAAACTTCCCGCTAATATAATAACATTTGAATCAATCGATTTCATTTTCTGATATGTGATTTTAACCATATCGGAGTATTCTCGTGCACCAACTAAATCAGTAAATTCCATAAATTCATCATTCATATTGGCTGCTCTAGGACACATTCCATTATTTGCTTGACATTCAGGACGTAGCCAGCCTCCTATTAAATTCGGTTCATTCCATATTTCCCATGCATAAACTCTATTCCCATAACGTCGTAGTAGAAACGCCATTGCATCAGCATAATCATTGTAATTTTTTGGACGATAAAGAAATTTTGTACAATCACTGGATGACGATGCCCAACATGGTACTTGAGCCATTTGAAAAATGATTTTAATACCAGCTTGTTCCATTGCAAGGACACTGGTATCCAGGTATTCAAGATAACCTGGTGAAAATATATTTTTACCACGTTCTTCTAATAAACGCCACGAAAACGGTAGACGGACAATTTGTACGCCAAGTTGTTGTAATAATTGTGTGTGCGATCGTAAATCTCTTCCAAGAGACTGTACTCCAAATAGTTGTTGGCTGTTCGAATGATGCAGTAATGATATTCCGAAAATCAAAAAGACCATCATGGGGTACCGAGCCATTTTTGAAAATATGTTTGCAACCACGTAAACTGGTACTTAGAATAAAACTCGTGAAGGCCAATCCCTTGATAATTGGTTGATGATAAATGTAGTCTATAAAAAATAGGGTCTTAGTAAGTTAGAAATCACCGAAAAATGTAGGGGCTGTTTGTACAACAGCTGTATTTTCATAAAGAATCATCGTTCAGAGCCGAGACAAGTTTCATTTTGTGGAGAAATGTTAAATCTACTTAATTACCTAGTTGCCATTTCAGTTCAGTTTGTAGCTTTATTGCAATAACTTTTTGAAAAAGAGCAAAAAATGGAGGTCGTTAGCTGGACAAGCCGTACACTAGATTTAAAGTAGTATCACTCAAACTTCTCTAAAACGTGCATAAAAGTACAAGAGCAAATAAAAAGCTTTCGACTTAGCAATGAACGAGAGAGAAGAGAAGTGCGTATATATTTTTCATGAAAGTGCTGCAGATACGATATAGCACAGATAATTTGTAATGTGAGCAAAGAAAGTGAGTTAACAGAACAGATTTTTTATCCAAGAAAACCCAAAGTCTACATATACTATAGAATGCAATACTGCCAATATCGCCGATATTTTTGCACAGCATTCTAACACGTTTTCATGTCAAATCCGAATTTTTTGTCATTTAGCACTTTTATTGCGTAGTTTATCATCGTGCAGTGTGCAAATCTAAATCTTTTCTAATAAGAAGGAACATGAGAATACCAACTAAATTTGTCTGTAATGAAATGAAATTTTTTGGTGGACATTAGACAGCAAGTTAAATATGAGTAGGAGTGTTGCTAGTTAAAGGATTATGGATATCGACAACATTTTAGTCAACGACCATGGTGCAATTTTTCGATCAAATTATACTTGGCCCATTATATCTCAAAGTATTTGTCCGCTAGACTCACAAGGGAAGATCTCCAACTATCCCACAGTTTGGACTAAATCTTAGTGGACTATAGCTAATTAAGGATGCCGATTCCGAATATCGTAATGATTTTTGCGTACGGACCTCCAGAGATACCGATTTTTGAAAAAACAGTTTTTCAGGTCAAAAAATTTATCACTCAAAAACATTTTCTGATTCAGTCAGATGAAAAGAGCATATCGACGAAACTACAAAAAATCACTTTTCAAGGTTTCATAAAAGATTTTGAGTGGATTTGCTCGGCAAAAACTTCAAATACCGCTAAAACAGGTTTTTTCATATTCAGTGTTTTAAGCTGCGTGATTTAGTTTCAGATAACTTAGCTGGTAGCACGGCTTCTCCGTTGACCCTAACGGAGCGTCAAATAGCAGAACATTTAGCCGACACAATATCTTCACTGTCAAACTGTGGAAAACTTCATTATGAGGAAGAGACAACTTTAAATCTCGGCGATATGTCGGATGAGTGCGATAGCGAGGAAGGAGAAAGTGCCGAAGACGAGTCGACTGATGCTGGGAATAGGGAACAAGCAGATTCGGACTGGCAGAACGAAGAAATTGCATTGGAAAAGTATAGTAAGTTATCCGTTAACTACATCCTTTAATAGTTTCGTTCCCTTGCCCAGTGGCGGATCCAGAAGTATTTTTTGGTACCTGCGGTGTACGATAAAAGTGCGAGATACGTGCGGCGGTCATTGAAACAATTTATTCTAAGAGAGATCTGCTGGGAAAAAACAGTTTTTTTGGTTAAAACGTACGGGCGGCCGCTCGTACCGCTCCCTGGCTGGATCCACCGCTGCTCTTACCACATTTTTTGGTTTTGAACACGCACAATCTTTGTTCTATTCACTTCACATGAGGACAAAAACAGTGCATATCAAATTCAAAACAAAGGAAAGAAAACAGCAGAATTTAACTGTAGATCTCTTCAGGATATTATAGAATAGCAACATTTCTACGAACTTCTTCTATTCTGCTGAACGATTCTGTTTGTATAAAACATAATCCACATGCGTCCAATCCAGACTAGGTCTACGAAAAAGTTCTAGATGTTTATGTTCAGAAACACACGTAATCGGCGAATTGTTTATAAGAACATGATGGGTGAAGCGATCGGAGGCTTTAGAACAATCCCAGACAGACATTATGTCGACAGATTTCGACTATATTTACAGCACCATGGCACAAAGAAACATAAAACACAGAATGTGGACGAGTTAGTTTATAAGCAGTTCGTTTAAGCGAGAGAAAAAAGTCTTGTCGTGCATGACTTGGATATACAAAGGTGGGGGTTGAAAATCGGCAAAGAATTGAAATTGGACGACTTCCATGCCTCACATCATTGGCTCGAAAACTTTAGAGCCCGGCATAAATCAGTGTCTCGTCGAGTAACAAACATTATTTCTCATCATCAAGTTGAAACAAATGATGAAGTTGAAAAATCAAAAAAAGAACTTCATTTCAGAGTTCCACAAACATTCAGTGCATTTCATTCCTTTGAAAATTCTGAATACAGATCAGACAGGTGTTGAAAAAGAATTGTAGTCGTCGCGTACTCTATCCTTTTCCGGCGAAAAGAAAACTTTTGCAGCGGTACAGTCGAAAATGCCACCATCCATTCCTGTACATTACAACCCACCATTTCTCTTGATGGAAAATTATTCGAGAAGATTTACTTGTGTTTGCAGGAACCAAATGGTAAGTTACTTACTAGTCCTATTTTGTTTTCAGTTTTGACAAAGCGTATTCTGTGTTTCAGGAAAAAATGGGTGAAGAAGTGAAAAGCCCAAAAATGTTGTAATTGCCTGCTCATCTTCGAGAAAACTAACCACGTCCTTAGTTAATCACTGGAGAGATCACTGTTTATTGCCTCTGATTGGAGACAAGTGTTTGCTACTTTCTGATAGTTATCCAGGACAATGTCAAGAGGAAACTTATGAACCGAAAAATTGCGGCGGCAAGAAAAGTGAACGTTTGGAAATACGTAAACATACGACGAATGACCTACAACTACTCGTTATTTCAACAGACAAATAAAGAATTTCTTGAAAAGATGTTAAAATCAAGTAGCTTTGAATGAGCTGGATGTTCCCTTGCATCAACGTAATAATATAATTCAATTAGTTAGTCTACTGCGCAATCACTTGAGTGCGATGGTTTTTGAACCAATGATAAAATACGATTGGTTTGCTAGTGCACTAACAAAAGACGAGCCATCACCTTTAAAAGTGTTATTGATGTCTGTTTTCCACGCGCAAATACATATGAAGAGTGTCAGGAACCGAACTGTGATGAATCGGTGTTTATTAAGGCGCCCATAATAGTTCGCTATCGGTCTTCATTGTATAAATCTTTATCTCCAACACTGCTCATTTTGTCGATCGATTACAGTAGTCTGCGAGCTTAGACGTACTTTGTACATACGAGCGCTCGACACCTGGGAGAAATTCTGAAGTTTTCTATACTTTGTTTCTATGCAAAGAATAACTTAAGGGAAAAACACATCTCCCAGGATGGGAAGAATTGGTGTGTTTTAGAGTTGTCTGAAACGGGTTGTTTTTGAAAATGTCGATCTCAGATGCATGAACATAGGCAGTAGTCGTAATTCAAATTTATTTAACTTCAAAGTTTAAAATTTTTATTGTTTAAAAAGGCATAACTAATTATCTGAGCACCAAAAAATTCGTATTCTGATTTTTTCTGATTTTCATCTATTGGATCTGGGTTCCCTGAATGTGTACTCAACAATACTCAAAGTCGTCCCCACAGTGCCCATTACTCACTCA